TATAAAATAAGATAATTACATAATCTAAATACAGAGCCAGATGTAAATTACCCTAATTCGCCTTAAATGCCAGATCAAACAAATACGTTTTTAAACGTGATTTAAAAGACTGAATGGAATCTGACGCGCGAATATGAAGAGGGAGAGTATTCCATAGCCTGGGTGCAGCAACGGCAAAGGCACGGCCTCCTCTGTCAACAGAACCTGTGCTTGTAGTCTAACACTGAGGTCTGCCTTTAGGTGGAGACAGCCCGGCAATTCCTCCTGTGAATATTTGAGAATAAAGGCGGGAAGGGAAAAGGGGGAAAAACAAAGAAACCAAAACCTCTGCTTTTTTGAATTTTAACACATGATTTAATTAACCCTGTCCTGTCTGGCAGCTTTTGCGATTAAGATCTGCTTGCACTGTTGTGCCAAACACATTTTGCTTTTCCTCTGTGACCATGTCCCACAGGGACCCAGGCCCAGCCACACATACCATTCACTCACTCATACATACCCACCAATGACACACAGACACACGAAGCCACACATGCAGACACAATGACCACTTGCCCCCCCAGCAAGCAGACTGTTTAGCCTAACTGTTGAACAGTAGCGCACATCCCCTGTCATTGTCTAAGATGCAGATAAAAATGAAGGGCAGATAACAGTTAAGGGGTGAACGGGGCCACTGCAGCAGTCCCACCCACAAGCCTCTGGGGGGCCCCCTCAAGGGCCTGTGAGTGTGTGTGGTAATATGTTGTGAACTGTAATGGAGGATGAAGGAACTGATACCAGTTACTGCCCCTCACACTCAGCTGGCCTATAGAAAACTTCTGGGACATTGAATATCAGACGTCAGTAGGAGAAGTCAGTCATACAGCGTTTGGACGTGGTGTTTTCTCCCACTGACAACGACAGAATCAGCTTTTTTGGATTTCCTTACCTGGATGACTGAGCAAGCATCAAGACTGTGTGTGTGTGTGTGTGTGTGTGTGTGTGTGGGGGGGGGTGTCATACAAAGTACTGACTATCATTTTTCTACAAAGTGGACCCTCTGCTGCAGCATCTTTCCACTTTGTTTCCATCATTCCTAACACATTAGACTCACTGCTGCTTTCTACTCTACCTGAGCACTCAAGGCATTATGCAACCCGACTTACCCTTTAATACAAGCGCTTTTTTTCTAGGCTGAAGTACTTTTAGCTAACATGTAGATGCTGCTCTGCCTCCTGGGCCCTGTTTCAGGAAGCCGGTTAAGTGGAAAAACTGAGTAAGTATACCCTGAGTTAACGAAAACTCTGGGTTTTCGGTTTCACAAAGCGAGTTCAGATGAAGCCTCAGTGAGTCACTATGACGACACACTCCGTGAAGCTAACCTGTCCCCTAGCAGGTTTACTACAACTAACCCTGACTGTCTCCGCCCCTTTGTCGGAAACCTGACTGTAGGAAGTGTCGACATGGCGTGCCCCTTCCTTGAAGAGCCAGTAGATCGTGAAGCCCAAATTCTCCGCAGAGCTCTCCGCCGGGAGAGAGTGATCAGAGCGCGTTTGGACATTTTATCATTTCCTGATGATTTCCTGTGTGAACGTTACCGTTTCTCAGCACAATCTATAAGTTATTTGAATAACATCCTCAGGCCATATATTACGCATGTGACACATCGTGGACATGCTCTCAGTTCTGTACATATTATTTGTATTGCACTTCGGTTTTTTGCAAACGGGAGCTTTCTGTATAATATTGGTGACGCTGAGCACGTTTCCAAGGCTACCGTCTGTCGGGCAGTCAGGAATGTTACAGTTGCACTGAAACGTCTCCTGTACCTGTCTGTGGTGTTCCCCGGTCACAGACCCACAAGATTTATCAAAGAGGGATGCCACAAAATTGCAGGTATCAGGATGACCAAAACTTAATTTATGATGTGGTGATACTTGAACTACTACTTAAATTTTACATTTATTTTCACGGTTCCCAGGCATCTGTATAGATGGCACTCACATTCCAATCATTGCTCCTTCAGTAAATGAAGGAGACTATGTGAACAGGAAGTCTTTCCACAGCATTAATGTACAGGTACATAGTTCCCTGTAGCATTTCAAACTAACAAATTATTTCATTATAGTAATGGATGCTAATTTGTGTTCTCTGCACTGTGAAGATCATATGTGATGCTGCCAACATTATCACAAATGTGGAAGCCAAGCGGCCAGGCTCTGTCCATGACTCACAAATATTCCGTGAATGTACACTGAGCACAAAATTTGGACATGGTGAGTTGAGAATACTTTAAAATATATAAAGACCAATTGCTTCAGGGACATTTGAACTGAAGTGTACCCTTCTGTCTTAGGAGAGTTCACTGGCTACTTGCTTGGTGATAGGGGGTATCCATGTTTACCCTATTTGCTTACTCCTTACTCTGACCCTGAACCGGGCCCACAGCAGCGATATAATCTGGCTCATTGCAGGACAAGAGCCAGAGTTGAAATGACTATCGGAATGCTTAAGGCCCGGTTCCAGTGCCTGCAAAGACTCAGGGTCACCCCAGAAAGGGCATGTGACATTATTGTGGCATGTGTGATTCTTCACAACATTGCCACAATTAGAGGAGAACACTGTCCTTCTGAACCAAACAGCAGTGATCCAAACCATGAACATCCTGACCCTCCCACGGACATACAAGATGGAAGCGCAGTCAGAGACACCATATGTCACAATCATTTCTTTTGACCCATCACCTCAACATGTTGAAAGAAGAATAAACTGATTTTTTGTTCAACTGGCTTTATTGGTCGCCTGTGTTTCCTGTACACAAAGTATTAAAAGATGTAAACCTCATAAAGTGTCTCTGTTGCTTCCTCCTCTGTAACAGCTGTCAATGTTTCTTCATTATTTTCCTGTAGTAAAGAAATAAACAACATTGCTGTTCTACTGTAAACTCATATAATCTGTGGAGTATTACTCACAACTGCATGTTGGTCTGGCTCAACAGGAGGCTGCACCAGATGCAGTACACCACCACCATCAACTGATAGAATATGAGGTTTATACAGGTCACTTATAACTTACAAGGGACCAAATGGCAATTAACAAACATACCAAGCACCTTACACTTCATTGTCATTATGCTCTCAAAGACAACCAAGACTGAGGGAAGGCAAAATCAGTCGGAAAATAACTTCACTACAAAATAATTCATTATGGTAAAGAGTTTATCAAATGAATGAGTAGCACTGCAAAGGTGACTGTGAAGAAAGGATGTATGCACATCATGTATTATTTTGAATTTACCCCTTATGTAGGCACTTGTGTCTTGCGGGGTTATTGACTCAGAGGATGTCGCCGCAGAGATGCCTTCGGCCACAGGGCGCCCACTGTTTTGGCTGAGGGCCAACTGCTCAGCCTCTGTGAGTGGTGATGGTGGAGGACCCCCACCTGTTTTTCGGGCCTCTGCTTTTTTTCTGTTGGCTATAACGGGTCACATTTGAGCATACAGAGTAAGCAAATATGTACTTGTAATGTGCTCAGATAATTTCAATAAGTGCTTACAGACAGAAAATTAATGTAGCCTCTAACTGCAATTGATTTACATCGGACAAACAGACCAAGCACTATGGCTCATAATACAATTACACCTTACCTGTTTGGACTATATTTTTATATTTCATTTTTACTTGCTGCCAGGAACGTTTGGGGCCTGTTGGGTTGCACCTGCGCTCACATCACGTCACAAAATAAAATGCATAAAATAACAAATAAAATAAAATAAAATATGATAAAATAACGTGTTAAATGGGTAGAAATCCCTAGATCAATGTTTAAATTAACACTCACGCATTGACTCTGTCGGCTATGTTTTGCCATGCATGCTCACTTTCTTTTGCAGCTGAGGCTGTGTTACTTTTTTTCCGCGGAATTTGCATGTTATCGGCATATGCTGCCATCAGAATTTCGGCCTCAAGCGCTGTAAAATACATTGACCGCGCCTTCTTTCCCTCCGTCTCCATGGTGACTCGCTTAATCTGTGCTCCACTAATCAGGGCTTTATGTATCCTCGTCCGCGCGCTTCACTTGGGGTTAAAGCAACTCCGCGTTGACTGAACTACTTGTTATCAGCCTTTCTGAAACCGAATATTCCGAGTTGGACAGTTCGGGGTTACTCAACCCTGAGTATCGTTTTTCACTCTGAGTTTTCTAAACCGGCTTCCTGAAACAGGGCCCTGAGCTACAACCAACTCTACCCCTCACATTTCAGGATAGCCTGGACTCAAAACAGGCCTGTTCAGAATGTGTACATCCTCATCACTGAAAGACTGGCCACTGAGTGTAGGTGTAAACACTGCAGAGTCCTGGCCTGATGAGTTAGCTCTTCTGTGGTGTGTCATCCTCTTAGCCAGAGGCTGTTTGGTTCCCCCGATGAATAAAACACAGCAATCCACTGGCTGCTGTATCTTTGGGGATGGTGTTCAGTCGGTGTTGTATTATACTGACACATAGCCAATTTAGACCCATTTGGGGGTGCTTAGGTATCATCAGAGCACCCCTAAAATAACCATAGTTGTAATAACAGCATATTTTTGGTTATTTTCTAGAATTATGATGTTACACTTTTCTAATTTGTCTATTTACAACACTACAGCATAGAATGAAAACAGGTTTTATGACCTGATTCACCCAGTTGGTGCTCCCATTACTGATGGCAATTTCACAGTCTCAGCCTGAGACTAAAAAAAGTCACTTGGGACGAAACATTTCTCCCACTGAACACGCTGCATCCAGATAAACAGAATCAACTTTCTGGGATCCTAATAGGGCCTGCATCAACACATATCACATGTCCAGTAGGATTTTTTCTTTGATGGAGTTTCGAACTATATCTTTCATTTTTTGTATGCAGTATATGTGTGACGTCTTCTGAGCTACTGTCTGCAGGAACTGCAGAACAATGTCAGCCGTGTGTGCATGAGGAAACATACAGCAAAAGAAAGAAAAAGTAATTATAATGACACAGATGAAAGAGTACAATATGGCTTTAATGAACAGTGAAACTAAAGAGATTACATTTATACTCTCTGAGAAGCCTGAGAGAGAACATCAAGAGAAATCATTAACAGAAACTGAAGTTTATCCATTTTTAATCTCACTGTGCAACACAGAGTTGACAAGGTGTTCCTCTATACGACTCTACGAGCACACAACCAGCAGAGTATGCACAGTTGCTATCTCGCATACAGGGAGTTCCACCAAACCTATGCAGCGCAGATGGATAAGGGGAAGATTTCAGCAACTTGAAGCATGAAAACATAAACTAAAGACACTCCTCCATCATGTTCGGTTAATCACATGATTTGCGTGACAGGGCACTCCTCAGGCTGATCCAGGAACAGCGTCTGAAACATGTGGTTGTAGAAGTCAGGGTGGTAGAGGCAGGCCCGGGCACAGTCTGGGCTGAAGTTCAACTCTAGGATCTGAGGTTGTATTATACGTTCACCTGAAGGATGAGAACACATAAACGATTCACAGGCTGATCACACAGTAAATAAAGTTTTAGTCTGATAAGCTGATATGTGCAATGTCTTGTTACAAAACTACACCTGTTGTGCCGCCAACAGGTGTAGTTTTGTAAAAAGACTGTAAATGGGCCGAAATAGCCAAACACTTTCCAAAGACACTGTCTCATTAAGCTCTCTGAAGCTCACAGTAAACACATTTCTTGATGCCATATTTTAAGAAGACTGGATAAGCAGAAAATAACTGCAAAATATGGCATGTCTTTATCCTGTCGTCCTTCTCTCACCCCAACCAATCACAGCAGATGGCCCCGCCCCTCCCTGAGCCTGGTTCTGCTGGAGGTTTCTTCCTGTTAAAAGGGAGTTTTTCCTTCCCACTGTCACCAAAGTGCTTGCTCATAGAGGGTCATGTGATTGTTGGGTTTTTCTCTGTATGTATCATTGTAGGGTCTACCTTACAATACAAAGCGCCTTGAGGCGACTGCTGCTGTGATTTGGCGCTGTGTAAATAAAACTGAATTGAATTGAAGTCTAGATACAGACACTTTATTCTGGTTCAGATGCACCAAGGCACGATTACAAGGATTCAGACTCTGGGGTAGGGTCTGCATGTTTGGGGTTTTGAGTTTCTTTTCTTTAATCTGTACCCTTCTCCTGTCACTTTCATGAATCCCTGTTTTACTCTGAGCCTTTGTCTTCAAAAGACCTCGAGCTCAATAAGGCCTCTGAAATGTTGATAGATACTACAAGGGCTCATTTTGATTTAGTCGTGAAAGCGACCTCTTTTACATATTTACTACACAAATACAGACATTCACTCAATTCTAGCTGTGCATCAGGGAGAGTGTTAATCACATGGAAGAGTCTACCAAGCAGCTAAATAATTTAAGAGAGAAAAAACCTTGTATCAGAATTGGACAGCTAACGTCCTGTGTCACTGACATCCTGATTTCTTCACACGTGGAGCGAAGGATGGAAATGCCTCTCATGCAGCCTGACACCAGCCTGATCTGAACTTGTGACGGTGGTTCTGAGAGCCAGTTTGCTGCAAGAGATGCTGCTAAAATGCAACTTGCTTGTTAAGTATTTAAACTTATAACCCACTTTAACCTCTTTTCTACTGTCAGGGCTGCTGTACATGATGATCCTTTTTATCTTGCAATCTGTACTTGTACAGTGTGGATTTCCTCCGAGCTTTCCAGAAAGTTGAATGATGGTAAAACATGCTTTGCACAGCTTTTAAATGAGTCTGTGTGATTCTTTTCTGCCTGGGAATGCATAACGGGACAAATTTGCAACCTCTCCTCCGCCCTCTCAACCTTGATTGAAGCAGAATCTCAAAGTTACAGAATCTTGTGTTAATGAATTTGGGGAGACAAAATAAATGTAGAGAGATGCTCCCAAAGGTCACAGAAGAAAAAACATGAGCCAGGTCAAATGAAGAGAGCTTGCCTTTGAAACAAATGTGGTTAAGGTGCCATTCCTCTGAGGCTCAAACAAATGTTACTGGCTTTGATGATCAGTAGGATCAATGCTCACCATTTTGTCCTCTACTCCACTTTAGCATGAGGTCTACAGCATAGATGGCCCGGGATGAAGGATAGGGACAAATACCATATGGTGCCGGTCTAGAAGTGGCTGCCTCAAAGAGCTCCTTGAAAGCTTTAAATAACTCTCCCTGTAAAGAAAAATGGACAGAAACCCAGATTTGAGTACGATAACCATACTAGGATTAAGGCCTTAGAGATACTGTCACACGTGCTTCACAATCTGTGCAGATGCTGCTACCTAATCTGCAGATTCAACAGGTGGTGTGAGGGCTTTAGATACTCCTGGAAGAATCATAATTTGTGCTGACATGCCACTGATGACTGAAAACATCAGTGACCAGCTTGGTATCACTTCTTATAAACAAACCATTTCCCTAAACTCTCAGAAAGAGCATCCTAAACTGAAAAGCACTTAACATTTTCACTCACTTCCACTTCTTTCCATGGATGCTGTGGGTACTGCTTCTCAAACATTGGGATGAACTCATCATAGTGCACCTACGAAAGGGACCCATCCAAACTGTTATCACTAGACTTTGATGACGACAACAGCTATGGCAAGACATACAAATTAAAATAGAGAAGATACCTGCTTAAGCTCCACCCCCTCGGCATAGTTCATGACAGTGAAGTGCTTTTGGTAATCATCAAAATGGTCCAAGGAGAACGGTCTAGGCAGAAACACCGAAAGATCAGCACCAGCACGGCAAAGGGTCAAGGATGGAGGAGCAACAACAAACTGCCAGGTTTAACAACAAACAGGTTTAACTTTGTGAAGAGCCAATCGATGGATAAGAAACAAGACAATCTTTGAATATGAAAGAATAGACAGAAACATTATTTTGCTAGTTTTGGTTGGTTTGTAACTTCTATGTTAACTTTTGATATATTTAATTAAATTGTGCTGTTATTTTTTACATCAAATGGAACAAGAACAAACAAACTAATGAGTGCCACAAAAGCAGTGTGAGCCATCATCTGCCTTTTCCTGTCTGACTTCGCTTTGCTTAGTGTCCACAGATTATTAAGTATGGATTACATCCATACTTAATAATCTGTGGACACTAAGCAAAGTCTGAGGAATCAGACTGTGCAGAGAAAGGTACCCTACAGGAAAGAACTCTTTCTGTATGTATGCATTTCTTACCTGTTGGCAAAGCGCAGCCAGAAGACATTATAGGCATAGAGACGCAGAGGCTGCACAGAACGCAACATCAACATGTAGCGAATGTCAAACTTCACCATTCCCACTTCCTCCCTGTTGAACAGGACTGGATCTTCGAGATACTTGCACACCACCTGGAACATGAAAACAACTGTGAGCTTTGTCTGTGAAGGTTCTCAGTCATCCAGGTCATGACAGGATAAAGGTCACTCTTTCGAGGATGCCAATGTTCACATTTTGGACAGAAAGGACAGATGGTTTGAAAGAGGAGTGAAAGAAGCATCTATGTCCACTGTGAGCGACCATCTTTGAACAGAGGCGGGGGTTTACGACACCAACTCTCTGCCATCTATAATCCAGTTTTGAGATCCCTTCCCAGACGCCTTAACGCCCACTCACATCCTGGGCCATCTGACCTCAGGAATTCGCATGATAAGGTGGGGCCAGGTTTCACAATGAACACACCCGAAACTCTGGCTGATTGGGACCCACGCCCAGTTTCACACCTTGGCTCAGGCGATTAGAGGATCATCAGGGGGTCCTTTTGTCCCTCTGTGGGGGGAAACTCCCACTAGGTTTATATCTGGGACTCTCCACCATTTGACCTTAGAACTGAAGAAGCTTCTCGGATGAAGGTGAAACGTCTTCAAGCAACCTAAAGAAGTCCAGACGCTTTTCTTTGCAAGCTCCTTTGACAACTGTGAGCTTTACAGTCCTGACACCGTGTGAATCTTAAAGTCATGCAGCACGGAGTCTGCAACTCTGTATCCCTTTGAAGATTTCTGTGATGGAAATTTGTTTTACCTTAGCGTATCGATCCTGTGTTCTGATAACAGTAAATATAAATATATGAGTTACAGATAGAAAGGATAGCATCATATATGTCTTATGTGGTTAAATGGAGTGGTCCCTATACAGCACCTTTCTACCTGATCACTGTTTTCTGTGCTAATCTAACATTCACACTCTCGCACTCATACCCGATGGACGCGTCAGAGAGCAGCTTGGGGGTTAATCTTGCCCAGAGATATTTGGCATGCACCACGGGAGCAGATGGGATCAAATCAAACCTTATTAGCAGATGAACTGTTCTAGAATTACTGTATTATTTTTGTAAAGTAATGCAGTGTTATAAAATGAGAATATCTATTAGTTAATGAAGTTAACAATAGTAGTTAATAACAGCTAATCATGCATAATTCTGATGTGTGAATGTCATTGTGACTGGTTGTCTGTAACTCTGTGTTAGCCCTGCGACAGGCCAGCGACCTGTCCAGGGTGTAAGACTAGTTTATGGTCACTCTCATCACACTGCTCTTCTCGTTTCCTAATTAATTATCAAGTCTTCTACCCATCTTTCTTTGACCTCATCCACCACTGAGGTCAAGTGGAAGCGGTTTGGAAAGTGATACAGAAGGCCCTTTCTGAACACAGACACATACATATACAGTGGGGCAAAAAAGTATTTAGTCAGCCACCGATTGTGCAAGTTCCCCCACTTAAAATGATGACAGAGGTCAGTAATTTGCACCAGAGGTACACTTCAACTGTGAGAGACAGAATGTGAAAAAAAAATCCATGAATCCACATGGTAGGATTTGTAAAGAATTTATTTGTAAATCAGGGTGGAAAATAAGTATTTGGTCACCTCAAACAAGGAAAATCTCTGGCTCTCACAGACCTGTAACGTCTTCTGTAAGAAGCTTTTCTGTCCCCCACTCGTTACCTGTATGAATGGCACCTGTTTGAACTCATCATCTGTATAAAAGACACCTGTCCACAGCCTCAAACAGTCAGACTCCAAACTCCGCCATGGCCAAGACCAAAGAGCTTTCGAAGGACACCAGGAAAAGTATTGTAGACCTGCACCAGACTGGGAAGAGTGAATCTACAATAGGCAAGCAGCTTGGTGTGAAAAAATCAACTGTGGGAGCAATCATCAGAAAATGGAAGACATACAAGACCACTGATAATCTCCCTCCATCTGGGGCTCCACGCAAGATCTCATCCCGTGGGGTCAAAATGATCATGAGAACGGTGAGCAAAGATCCCAGAACCACACGGGGGGACCTGGTGAATGACCTGCAGAGAGCTGGGAGCAAAGTAACAAAGGTCACCATCAGTAACACACTACAACGGCAGGGAATCAAATCCCGCAGTGCCAGACGTGTTCCGCTGCTGAAGCCAGTGCATGTCCAGGCCCGTCTGAAGTTTGCCAGAGAGCACATGGATGATACAGCAGAGGATTGGGAGAATGTCATGTGGTCAGATGAAACCAAAGTAGAACTTTTTGGTATAAACTCAACTCGTCGTGTTTGGAGGAAGAAGAATACTGAGTTGCATCCCAAGAACACCATGCCTACTGTGAAGCATGGGGGTGGAAACATCATGCTATGGGGCTGTTTTTCTGCCAAGGGGACAGGACGACTGATCCGTGTTAAGGACAGAATGAATGGGGCCATGTATCGAGAGATTTTGAGCCAAAACCTCCTTCCATCAGTGAGAACTTTGAAGATGAAACGAGGCTGGGTCTTCCAACATGACAATGATCCAAAACACACCGCCCGGGCAACAAAGGAGTGGCTCCGTAAGAAGCATTTGAAAGTCCTGGAGTGGCCTAGCCAGTCTCCAGACCTCAACCCCATAGAAAATCTGTGGCGGGAGTTGAAAGTCCGTGTTGCTCGGCGACAGCCCCAAAACATCACTGCTCTCGAGAAGATCTGCATGGAGGAATGGGCCAAAATACCAGCTACTGTGTGTGCAAACCTGGTAAAGACCTATAGTAAACGTTTGACCTCTGTTATTGCCAACAAAGGTTATGTTACAAAGTATTGAGTTGTATTTTTGTTATTGACCAAATACTTATTTTCCACCCTGATTTACGAATAAATTCTTTACAAATCCTACCATGTGGATTCATGGATTTTTTTTTTCACATTCTGTCTCTCACAGTTGAAGTGTACCTCTGGTGCAAATTACTGACCTCTGTCATCATTTTAGGTGGGGGAACTTGCACAATCGGTGGCTGACTAAATACTTTTTTGCCCCACTGTATAAGTTTATATAAGTGTCATTCTTGGTTTCTGTGCATGTGTGCCATCACCTTTGGTGTACTCTCTCGCTGCCTGATTATGTAATCCAGGTTGTTGGTTATGTGTGTGTCTAGTCCACGAGCTAAATTCCAAGGCTTACAGATCCAGTGGTTATCTTCTCCCCTGAAAAATATAAGGCAACTTTTAATTATCCAGTTAATAATGATAATAACAATAATAAATACATAAAAGGAAACTTCAATTATTTCTTCATTGTAACACTGCCTGTTTATGGTCCACACTTGCATTCGTGGGTTGTTCCCTTTAAAATCTCTGCTGATGCCAAACAGCTTAAGCTGCTATTGACTTTTGCTTGCTGCTGTTTATTAATGATTGAAGTCTGAAGAAAGAAGAAATATAAAGTGTATTATTTTACAATTCAATTCCATTTTATTTATATAGCACCAAATCACAACAGCAGTCGCCTCAAGGCGCTTTACATTGTAAAGACCTTAAAACATTAATAAACATGTGGAAGAACCATACCAAGCCACAGACTGGATCTCTCCTGTTTACCAGGACGGTCACACACTGTTGTGCATTTGTCACAACATGCCCAAGCAGACCCTGTAAGTGTTTAATGGGACGGAGGTCGGGACTGCAGGCAGGCCCTTCCATCCTCTAATCTCTGATAAAGATGACAACACAGGGTGGGGTTTAAGTTCAGTCCCAGACTGTGGCAGTAGGTCGATATCTCACCATCACACTGCCTCTACCAGAAGCTGTTACAGTATAGCCTGGATTATACTTGGTTGCTGGTGACCCACATGTACAGCTTCCAGTTCCCTTCTTTCAGCACTTCTCAAGCTTCTCGTGCTCCTTTTTCCTGATATTGCTGCCATTTGATAACAACTACGACCGTCTTCCTCTGCTTGTCCAGCATCACTATGTTAGCCATCACCACTTTGTCTGTATCTGGAAGTCCCACAGGATCTTAGCTCGGTCATTCTCAAGCACCCTAGGGGAGCGTGTCCCTTTTTGACCTCAGGACTTCCAGGCCATACTCAGCACAGATGTTTCTGTATACTATTCAGGGTGTCTGTGTGAAACACTGCGGTTAAGTTCTTCCTTCCTTTTATTATTCGTCATAAAAACTAGAGATGACTAGAAACAAACAAAATCAGAATCCCAACCTTTGTTGCTGGTAATGCTTGATGAACTGTGGCAGCTCTGTCTGTAGGTTGAAGGTCTGCGGTAACCAGTCGGGTCCTGGGCTGCCTTTCACCCTGCGAGCCACAGCAGCCAGGCAGTCCTTCACCGTGATGATGCTCTCACAGGGAAACTGGTTCAGCAACACATGAGGCCGCTCCACACTGAGTTTGCTGCCAAATCAAAACATGATACTTAACCTTTCAGACAGTCCAACAGCAACCTCACCTAACGCTGGTTCATAGCTGCTTTATCAAGTGTCAACATAACTTTGCTGATAGACTTAGAATAATCCCATGTTTGAGTTTGAGATTAACTCATGAACTCTGACTTCTTTTAACTTTCTGGTATTTATGAACTTAAATACCTCCCCAGCATGAAAACAGGTCACTTTTTAAAATTGTGTTGGAATCAATTAAAGCTGAGATTAGGATGTTTATGCAACAATGTAGCGCAGCCTAGCAACAAACATACAGAGTTTATTATTAATTATTTACTTATTAAGTCACACAAAAAAACATGTTCTTGGCATTCACACACAATAAAGCCTGTTTTCATAATTCCTGCCTGACAGTTGGTCAAGATCAGTGTTAGCTTTGAAATAAAGTCTAATAAAGTCTTTCTATTAGTCACTCAACACACACACACACACCAACAGAATACACAAACTGTGAGTTAACATATAATAATATTATAACACAGCCAGGATCATACCTTTTGGACAACTGATCTCTATTATTGTTGGATCTTTACATTACAATATTAAGCACCTTAGGGCGCTATATAAATAAATCTGTTCACACAAACAAAAAAAAAAAAAAAAAAAAAAAAAAAAAAAAAAAAAAAAAAAAAAAAAAAAAAAAAAAAAAAAAAAAAAAAAAAAAAAAAATGTACTACAGATTACAGATTACATGGCCCAACATTTATTTTGTAAGGTATTCCATTACGTTACTCAATGAGAGTAACGTATTCTGAATACTTTGGATTACTTAATATATTGTCATGCTACATGAATGTACTATTGCTGTGTGATTTATTACTATTAAAGAAGGTTACTCGCCAACCAGTACCAACTGTGATGGTTTTGTGTTCACTGAATACAACCTACTGACACAATGATCAGAAAAGCACTATACTTAGTGCATAAGAATTATGCACAATTCACTGAATTCTGTAGCCTAGTGTATAAGGCCCCAAGGACCTGTGTGCTGTGACTCTGCAGAAATAGGTGTTTCCTGGTTTCCTTGAGCACATGTTTTTTTAATCCAGCAGCTACCATGTATGAAACAGTCACTTATGAAGAAATCATGTCTGTCTAGCTCCATAATGTCACCGAGTTATGAATGCAGCTTCGCTTGCTCACCTGTAGTCTTTGATGTGATTATAGCGCCAAATGATATCTGCCTCGTCCTCATCCTCTATCAGCTGGAACCGAGGGTGGCTAAGGTTGTTTGTTACTTGTGACATTTCAGAGTAAACCCTGGAAACAAATGAACAAAACAATAACAAAAAACTCTTTTTGTTGAGCTTTTTAATTAGCACTTAAAGTGGACATGAAACTCTTTATCTATAAACTGAGCGCTGCTCTCAAAAACAGACTGTCTGTGACGCTGGATTTAAGAAATTAGGGCTTAAAGTTTGAAAACATGTTTAGCGCCATCTTGTGTCAGTATATTATGTGACATCATGGGTTGGTTGGTTGCGATCAGTAGACTTGCATTAGTTTATGTTAGGTAATTGGTAACAAACCCAATAACTCAGAGAAAGCGAAGGGACGTAAACTAAAAATCAGTCTCTGGTGGCTCTTCGTTGTTTGGTTAGCTATACTGAAACGGGAAAATACACCTGCTAGCTGTAATGTTTGGATTTGTAAGGCACTTTGTAAATGAAGACTGTATGAAGGAAAGCCTGTTTGAGTCAGATGTCTGCGGAGTCAAAAACAGATTTTTCCTTGTATGTAGCGAGTGGCACAATCAGCTAACACGATTATATGTATTTTATGCAATAAAGGAATGTCTGTTCTCATCCAGACAGTTTACAACCTAACAGCTTAATACAGAGCTTCCCAAAGTGTGGGGCCGCCGCCTAGGGGGGGCGCAGGGCCATTGCAGGGGGCGGGCGCCGTATGAAAAGGGAAAAAAAAAACGCTTGGACACTGCTAGCACGCACTGGGCTGTTCAAATCACGGACGAACAGGATCCCACATTCTTGATTTTTAGTTCACAAACACTTGTTGTAATGACTAACTGCTCCTGACATGTTGGAGATGTTTGCTCTTTATACAGTAAAGTTACAGCTGGATACAAATAACATCAGGCTGATCCTGCCACGATTTGTTCCCCTGTCTAAATCACGGACGAACAGGATCCTACAGCTGTTTATGTTTTTGAACCCATTTTGCACAGAGAGGCGATTTTGAAAAAAGTATTGACAGCAATGTTGAATACAGGAAAAAACAACTACACGTAAAATAATCACACCGTGACGCCTCTGCCTTTGTAAATAGACAGTAACTGTTTGTGTATGTAAGCGTGTAAAGCCTGCAGACAGTCAGATTAACAGGATTTTGTCTCTATCTGCCATTCTGCAGTTCATCTCATGTAAACAATAACGTGGCCACAGCGTGATGTGGAAAAAGGCAAATATTTTATCGTCCACACTAAATGCAAAAAAGGAGTTTTAAAAAATCTCCATTCATGGTTTGGGAACCACTGGGTTATTACATGTGCATCACAACACAAACACAAACTGTTCTTCTTACCGAAGCACGAACCCTGTCACTATGTCCGCAGCAAAAATAGACTGATGTGTTCGATGGAGAGACGAAAAACCAAGAAGCTGTTTTTGGTTAACAGTCTGGTTTAAAATATAACATCCAGTCAGTCTCATTGTATACTCTTGTATATGTTTAATCGGCTTCATCTGATATATACGATCTCAAAGAGATTGATCTCTTCCAGCTTATCTTTACCCACAAGTGGAGGAAAAGGATTAAACATCCAGCCTTTTTATGGGGACGGTGACACAGAGCGCTAAAGTAGAGTTTACTTAGCAGTGACTTTGCTAATAGTTCAACATATTTAATTCTAATTCAAAGTATAATCAACACCAGATCTAATCACCAGGATGAGTAAGAAAATCATGTTTGAGTAATGAACGCCTGACTTTTTCACCCAGATTCCCGAAGCATTCTTTTGACTACAGTGTGTCCTCGGCTCCCTCTGTGGTGTGTGTGTGTGTGTGTGTGTGTGTGTGTGTGTGTGTGTGTGTGTGTGTGAGAAAGGCACCAGAGTCCAATGTGACTGTGATTTTGAATAACAGAAGTGATGCTGTGACTGACAAACACAGCGTCATAAAGGGAAAAAGCAGGTTCAGTTCACATGAGACTGAGCTAATGAGAACTCATGTTGATGTAAAGCAGCATATAAACTGAATGAGACATGATGAAGAGCGACAGCATATATGAAGCGATTTGCTGTATAAAACCCTGAGCAGAAGTTATTTTGAGTTTCTTTAAATTCAGAAAAGTTTTTCTAGCTGTAGACGTAGCATGAAACAATGAATCCTGTACATGCACCTTAGATTTCAGTTGAGCACCAACTATGTATTCAGATACATTCCACCACACACTGAAATCTGGCCTCTATGTTGGTAGAGATTAAAATATTATCTATAGTCAGACAAACACTACACGGAGATCATCTCGACCTGCAAATTCCCAACAAAGTAAATGTGTTATCTTTAGTGAGGGAGAGAGTGGAGGCAGGCAGCGACCTTCCTGACACACATGAACAGGCGTGAACAAGCAACGTCTGAAGCTGTGGACCAGCTCAGTATTTCTCCTTCATATTCAGATATCCACTTTCTCTGTGTCACATTATCATTATTATATTATCCAAATACAGAAGTCTGCAGCAAGTCAGTGCCCAACTCAGAAAGGCCCTACAGGTAAATATAATAAAAAAGATTTCTGTAACAGTGACAAACTTACTTGTAGACTTTGTCCTTCGGAACAGTGTAAGGCTGTATTTCCACGGGAAGCTGCTCCTTGTTTTCCCGAGCAATGTTCTGCAGACACAGAGACGACCCAACAATTAGGCTTCAGTTCAGCTCAGATATTGACTGTGGATACATCACATACAGTGGTGGGAAAAGTGTTCCTGACTTCATATGTTTGTCAAACTTAAACGTTTCAGATCATCAAACAAATTTAAATCCAGGACAAAGATTTCACCTCCTTTAAAAATGCAGTTTTAAATGTTTCTTATTAAGGGGAAACCAGCTGGGCCCACTCATCTTTGCAGGATTGTTGTAATTCAGCCACACTGGAGGGTTTTTCAGGTCATGCCACAGCATCTCAAGATTCAAGATTCAAGAACTTTATTGTCAATACAACAATATACACAGTATACAGCGTTTCACCCCGAGTCCCCCTGGTGCATTTATATGAGTATAAATAATATATCTCCAAGAGATATAAAACTAGGATTTACACATAAATAATAACTTGCTAAATTTGGGTCAAATTAAGTGATAAAAAGGTACTATTACTAACTTTATCTATGTAATAAACACAGACAGGACAGAGACAATATGGAGTGGATTGTGCAGCAGGTACTGAATACAAGGTTGAAGTTATGAGTCAGGATATTTTAGACGAGAACGGACGAAGACGTGCAAGAGACAAAATGTGCAAATATATTTGAGATGTGTTCAGTAACTATGTGACTGAGTGTGCAAATAAGCAGATTGTTCCCAGGTCCGGTTTGTAGTGCATTTGTGGAAGTTTGTGTTGTGTTTGAGTCTTTTGGTGAGTACTGTAAGGTGTTTGTGTTTATCAGTCTGGTGGTAGTGAGTTGAGGGCTCTGACTGCTTGGGGGAAAAGCTCTTGCAGTGTCTGGTCGTTACAGTTTTGATGCTGCGAAAACTTCTGCCAGATGGGAGGAGGGAGTACGGTGCATCGAGGTCACAAAGAGCTGGCCGGATATTCTCCCTCAGGATGTTTTGGTAGACGGCAGAATTCATGGTTCCATTTACCACAGCAAGTGCTGCAGGTTCTCAGGCAGCCACACAGACCATCACACTACCACCACCATATTTTACTGTTAGGAAGATGTTCTGGTTCTACTTAAGTGTCTTCTTAATTCAACAGGTCTGCCAGTAATCAGGCCTGGGTGTATTTAATCAAACTGAACTCACCTTTCAAAAACACGTGGTTAATCACAGTTGGATCATAATTTAGGAAATGAGGAAGGGGTGACTGGACTGTGCCTTAGGTACCGAATGAAAATACTTTGTCGTATTTAAATCTCCTATTAGTGAAACTTATTTAACATTATTTACTACTTTGTGAACTGTTTGACTTTTTTTTTTTATCAAGAATCCAAAAGACTGAATCTGAGTTTGAGATGAGAATAAAGTTTAATAGAATTCTTGAGGCTGATAAATTTATGTGGTACTCCTCACCTCAAAGAATGAGTCCGGGGGCTCAGCTGTGACGCTGCTGACCTCTTCTAGATCACTAGGTATCCATGGTAACAGGCGGCACTGCCGCACCAGAGGGTCTGGCTCTCCATATGTATAGTCACGGGTAACTTCATCTGTGGATAATAATGTAATAAAACATTATGTCATCCAATCATGTTGCATGTTTTAACAGGGAAACTCTATTTCAGGTATCTTGTATCCAAAGACAACCAGATGTATTCATTTTCTGAATTGTGACATGGTGATCGCTCCGTGTATGCTGTGTGCGCTTTCACCTCCTTCGTGCAGGTCCTGCAGAGGCCAGAGCACGGTGTAGGCTAACTGGCCCTGCACGTAGAAGAAAGGAGCCATGCTGCAGGTCGGTTGATCAGAGTGCCGCACCTGAGAGCCAAACTCATCCATGACGTACCACACGGGAACCTTGTCCTCTGGGGACTGCACAGGAAAACACGGGAGGAAGTGAGGCAGAGGAGGGTCAGGTTCTGGCTTTCGGGTCATTATTATCACAAACTCCCTTTTGTTCAAAGTGTGCGCAGCCCTCGTAAGGACAAGCGTTCAGCAGGTTTGTGTTACACATTAGCTGCTTTATACTGAAATAAGTTTCACATCATGGTTCCTATAGTAGCTCCACAATCATCTAATATACAGTATTAGGAGAATCATGTGTAGTACATATCTAAGTGATAAGAGCAGTGTTTTCTCACACACCCCCTGAGAGAGCTGATAAGTCTGGTTGTACTTCCACATGCGCTCCATCACCAGCTCCACCGTGTCAGGGTCGGGGACCTCACCATGGAAGTCCAGCCCCATAAGGGCCGCCATTCTGGGCAACAGGCCTGGGATCTGTTCCAGCTGCTGCCGGGCATGATCCACGCGGTACGTCCACGCGTGATCCACCAGGAAAACGCTGCAGGAATATGGAGACAATCTCACGCTAGATGTTCGTTTGGAAAATTACCTTTAAAGAGCTTTAAAATGCTGACGATTAATAAAATCTTAAAAATCTCTTTATTCACATAAAGAAAGCGCTGATGGAAAGTAGCAGCAGGAAATTTGCCCAGAAACGATGCAGTTAAATATTTCTGTGGCGGTGTAATATGACTAAGCTGCAGCTGCTCTCCCCCTGGATTCCTTCAAGCTGACACCCTGACCTGCAGGGCACTTTTATTAATCATTTGTAGTCTATGAAATATTACTGGATGAACCTTTAACCTTGTCACTAAAGCAATAGTTCATTTTAGCTCGGAAAATGAAATGTAGTTACAACCAAGGGTTAAAGGGATTTCCATGGTTTTCTTAAGAATTCCAGTTGTTAACGATGTTCTCTTCTCACTATTTTGTTATAATGTTAATGAATTTAAGGTTTTCTGTGTCATTTTGTTTATATAAATACAAAACAGTAAAGGACAGGGTCAGGATTTCAATGTTCACAGCAATAACACAACAAACAACTATCCAGTTATTCTTGTTCACCATGAGGTAAGACAACTGATTAATTTCAGCTATTCTGAACATCACCCCATCCACTTCCTCTAACTACCTGTTCAAGGATTAACAGTTTGGAAATATGAAGCAAAACAGTACTCAGCTCATATAAATATACCAGATACCTGGACTTTGGCACAGCTTTGGAGGAGCAGAATCAAAGCATCTCAAAATATCAAATATGAAAAAGTATGATGTAACATCCAAGAGGAGAGGAAAAGCAATTTTCTGTTAAATAATTTATCTTTTACTTTGTTGATTTGTTAGTTGGAGGCTGGAGATCATCATAGCTATGTCCTTAACACGGGCACGGCTATTATAGTTAACAAAAACTGAGCTAAAAAGTGAAACAAAATGTAAAAAAGTTTTAGTTTGAAATCAAATTAAAAAAAAAATACTGTTTTTGTTTATACACCACATCATTAGTTAATCATTCGTTATTATTGTCTGGTCCTCTTGCTCAATTGTCCCCTCCCATCAGACCAATTGGTCGCAGCAGATGGCCCCGCCCCTCCTTGAGCCGGGTCCTGCTGGAGGCTTCTTCCGGTTAAAAAGGAGTTTTTCCTTCCCGCTATTCCCAAAGGGTTTCTCAGGTTTTCTCTGTACTATTGGAGGGTCTTTAACTTTTAATATAAAAGGCCTGTATTTAAACACATTATATAAATACAACTAAAGTGCAGCCCGCACCTTTGACGTGCAGTCTGCAGTCGTATATAGTGACATAAATAAGACATTTAAACACTTAAATGTTAAGGTCGTAGCATTCCTTTCCTCTCCAAGGAGCACAAAGACAAACATGCGATCAGTGGAAGAAGAGTTATCGTTTGGCGCCCTCACCTGGTCGGCTCCGAGGCTTGCAGACCACTCTCCCGGGTTACAACCACTTTACATCTGATCTCATCTCCAGGATTGTCCTTCTTCTTCTCCTCTCCGTTTTCTTCATCTCCCTCCCCCTCATCTTCATCTTCTTGTTGGAACTGCATTATTCCGAAAACTTCCCCGGCATCATAAATCTACGGAAACAGACATGGCATGAAGGGGCCTGCTGGGAGAATGTCTTTTAATGTGTGCACGCCAAGGTGCTGCATCTCAGCGTGTATGAAATGTCAGCAGCAGCTTTTTCTGCAACAGTAAACAAACAGTTATTAGGACTGAACATGTGTTTCAGTGCTTCGTGATGTCAGAGCACACCTCGCTGGTGATCTTGTGGTGCAGGCTCCTCCAGTAGACCGGAGGGATAGCTGAAGCCTGGAGCGCTGCGCTGTGGAGAGCCACGAACACTCGGAACTCCTCGTCCTCCGCGCCATTCGGAACCGTGGGGTTTGTTGACATTACTGCACTGGAAGTGTATCTCACGTGGAGACGGCGTTAGTAAACCCGGAAGAAGGAGGAGTTTAACAGCTACACAGCTATGCATTGTGGGAGAGTTTTTCAACTATCTGAACTAAAACATACTTCATAAATTAAAAAAAACCATTAGGTCACTTTTAGAAAAAAGTAACTGGGTTAAAACACAAAGTCTCACATGTCCGAACAAAAACAAATATGGTCTTTAAATTAAGTAAATACAACCTGAGATGGACAACAACATAATACATTTTGGTGTGTCATGTTAGTCATTATTTAACAAAATGCAGAACCAGAGTGTGTGAAAAACTGAGTCCAGCCCCTGGTTGTTTCTGTCATTTAGTTTTTCAGACTGTCTCTGCATGTTGGCTTAGCTACTGTTCAATGGTAGTGACTGTGTAAAATGTCATGTATTGATTATCTGAGGCTATATTTGAATAAGACCTGCTGAGGACCAGATGACTTCATTTACATCCCGATATGTAAAACCTTAGGGAGGTGTTGTATGTTCTTAGTACCATGACTGTAAATTTATGCTTACTGACACAGACAAAGATCACAATTCATGCCCATTAACGCAAACACATTGACTGTTTGTTTTGCCCTAAGACCGGGCTGTTATACATCTGTCAGTAGTTTCTGTTTTTATCAGCAGCGCTAAGTGGCAAAAACTCAGGCTGGTACAGATGCTTTATATTGAATTTGGTTCAGTTTAAGTTTAATCAAACTTTTGGATAGCTAACCCTAACTAACCTAGACCAACACAACTAGTATCTGCTGGCTGTCTGTTATGAGGGGACCTCGACAGCAGACCTAATCACTAAAGTTGTGGACACATATATGTGACAGACACAGAGGTATCAGAGTACCGGTAGCGTGTCTGAAATGATCTGAGATGTTTGTTTCTCATTTGGCAAATACAGAATTTCTGTGTTAAAACTTCTGCGTTCTTCTCTCTTTGTTGTCAGGTACAGGATAGCTGGACAGTTTTGTCTAGCTGCAATCATCCCGCTGCAGCAAGACACCAACACACTTCATGAAATCCTCAGAGAAAGAAGCTATGAAGAAAAAGTGAGGACAGTCATTGGGGAAAGAAACTCTGAAAACAGTCAAGTTTATGTAAGCAACAACATGGTTATAGCCAGGGTTTTAAAACCTGAACACGCAGAATTTCGAGTTCTTCAAAAACTAAAACAATTGAGCCAAAACAGCGCTGGAAACTTCCTGCTGCTCTACTCTTATCTCTCCCCATGTAGCACGTGTACAGACATATATGATAGCAATAACATCCTTAAACAGACTGACATGTACATTCACAAATGGGCAGACAGAGCCTTTGTGTTTACAAGAGTTTATGACAAATCAAATTATGAAACTCAGTCTGAAGTTGATGTCAGCACACACACAACCATAGACAGAGGGAGTTGACAGAGTCACTTCTCGAGCTCGCGTGGTCAATGGGCAGCCTCAGCCTCGCTGTGATAAAACGAGTAATTCTGAGTTAGTGTCACAGCTGCTATACAGATGGCAGCTATTCTGAGTTTTGTATTAATAATAATAACAGGCAGGAAACCATAGATGGGAAAGGAGACAGAGTGAGAGCAGCAGAGGAGAAAGAAGATGGAGAAACAGGAGCAACAGTGGGAGCAGGCCCAACAGGAAAAACATGGGTGGAGGCAGCAGCAGCAAGCGGAACATGTACAGGAGTCAGAGTGAGAGCAGCAGCAGAAACAGTAAAAAACACAAAGGTGGAGGCAGGAGCAGCAGGAAGAGAAGCAAACATAGTAGCAAGAGAAGAAGCAGAGGAGGAAGTACATGGGGAAGCAGGGGGAGGAGCAGCAGTAAAAACAGGGGTGGAGGCTCCAGGGGGAGCAGTAACAGTAAAGGTTAGAAGAGTTAAAACAAACCATCATCCCTGAAGACAAACTTCCTTCACACTTTTAAATGATTTTTTCCCCAAACAGCATTTAAATTCTACTTAAAACAAAATATAAAAAATGTTCTGCCCTGTTTTTTCTGAATAAAGTCTTCAGCTTCAAACCTGCTCTGTGTCTGTCTCTGTTACACCGAACATCTGCAGATTAGACTTGATTTACTGATGTCGAGATATTTATTGAGGTACTTACCGTCATTCTGTTTATAATCCAACAGTGCACAGTTGAATGAAAATACATTTCCAGGCAGGTATGTTGAAGTCCATTTTTTTCACATGGAATAAATAGCCATATAAATATATATATAAGAGAGCATCACAGAGACTTTATTATTCCCAGAGGAAAAATTAGTTGTCATAGCAGCAAATACAGAACAATCATCAAGCACACACCAATTAGTGAAACTACAGGAATGTCTTAAAGACATAAAGACCTGGATGGCCGCTAACTTTCTGCTTCTTAATTCAGATAAAACTGAGGTTATTGTACTCGGCCCTGAAAAGCTTAGAAATATGGTATCTAACCAGATTCTTAGTCTGGATGGCATTACCTTGGCCTCCAGTAACACTGTGAGGAACCTTGGAGTCATTTTTGACTTCCATGCACATATTAAACAAATATGTAAGACTGCTTTCTTCCATTTGCGCAACATCTCTAAAGTTAGAAACATCCTGTCTCAGAGTGACGCTGAAAGACTAGTTCATGCATTTATTACTTCCAGGCTGGACGACTGTAATTCATTATTATCAGGAAGTCCTAAAAACTCACTGAAAAGCCTTCAGCTAATCCAAAATGCTGCAGCAAGAGTCCTGACAGGGACTAGAAAGAGAGAGCAGATTTCTCCTGTTTTGGCTTCCTGTTAAATCCAGAATTCAAAATCCTGCGCCTCACATACAAGGTCTTAAATAATCAGGCCCCATCGTATCTTAATGACCTTGTAGTACCATATCACCCTATTAGAGCACTTCGCTCTCGCTCTGCAGGCCTACTTGTTGTTCCTAGGGAATGTTTCTTGCTTCATGTGTGAGCGGTCCCTGGTTCGAATCCCAGATGAGTCTGTGTGGTGCTATAACAACTCTAGGAAGACATTAGATTAATTCTCCTTTTTTTTAGATTGTATAACTTTGATTTTTTCTTTCATTTGTTTAGATACCAACTGAAACCACAAAGCTCCAGTTTCACACCCCAAACTAACCAACTGTAATGCTTCTTTTCATCAGCACAATAGTTTTCAGTTTTCAATTTCACATTGGTCTACACTCCCCACATTCTGTTATGTCCTTATCCTCATTGCAAATCAGAGATTTGAATATAATCAATTCATTAATTAACAATTGAATTCCACACTTGTGTTCATCCACAGCAGCTGGACAATAAAGTTTATTGTGACCCTGATACTGCAGCAGATCCTTCTGATCCATTTCCTGTTATCACTTCAAATAGAAATGAGGCTGCAGAAAAGCAGCTGCAGGGCTGCTGAAAATACTTTTCTGCACCAACTTTCAGCCAGCAAACGCTCAACTTCTCCCAGCGTGCTGAGCTAATGATTAGTTGGTGTTTTTCTCCAAACACTCTCTCACTCTTCTCTCAACGTGTTCACAATAAACTGTGAACAGACACCGAGCAGAGCAGCAGAAGACCTCATTCAGGAGCTAAACTCAACATGAACTGAACTCACAGTAACGTTAGCTCGGTGCATACCTTTAGATGAGCGCACAAACTGAGAGACACTCTACTGTGGCAACACCACCAGTTTATAAAGAACAAGAGATGACAAAGAGAAGTTTTTTTCCGGAAAGAGCAGCAAAACAAACTTAGTGAGGAGGAGGGAAACCTCTCAGACAAACCCAGACCCCTGCACAAAGTGCTGTTCAGACAAACTCATTTATATTTCAGGTTTTGCAGTGTGGCACACCACTACCAGGTGAGCCATCACACTTCCTCTTTATGCCACAGTACAGGAAGTGTCAGCTCGAAGAATTTTATTTATTTTAATTTTTTTAGTTCATCTATTTATTTTAAATCCAACAGTTAAAAATAAATGTCTGAAAATTCAGCCCATTCCTTTTATTTACTGGAAGAGATCAAATCTGAGACTCTGTTGTGTTGAGCTACATGAAGACAAGTAGATTCAAACTTAATACAAAAAAAACATTACAATATTTGTAATTAAAGGATCGTTAGCTGCTGGCAAGCCTCTCTACTTGCTCCTTCAAAACTTGTGTTGTGAAAACCTGAGTTGTTGTTGTTCATATCGGCAACAGGGTTGAATTCATAATTGCCGTTGCCTGGTGGCATCAACCAGCCAAACAACTGGGGTGAGGTGGGGAAGATCCATTGAGGTCCAACCGCAAAATTGCCCACAGCCTGATAATTTGCACCACTTCTGATTAAATTGATCTCCAGGTGCTGGGTGTACTGCTGCTTGAGTGGGGGCTCTCCCTCTCCCTGAAACTGAATCACAGACAGCACAGTCAGTAAAAGTACAATACAAAGTTCTTGTTTCAAATTATACTCAATACATTTCAAATGAAATTAATGAATGAATTACCCAGATGTCTGAATCAAAGTTTAATAATAGGAGATACTTACATGAAATGAGACACCCTGATTGAGATGCTGAGGATGTGACCTCCTCCTAAACTTTCTCCTTCTGTTTTGAAACCAGGTTTTTACCCAAAGATGGAAGAAAATAGAAAACATCTAATCAGTTCACTGGAGACAAGATTGAACACGAATTCAATTTCTTATGTTTTAGTAAGCTGAAAAACACTCACCTGTTTGTAGGTCAGTCCTGTCATCTCTTCCAACTATTTAATCTCTCTTGGCTAATGGTAATGCTTCAAATGAAACGGGTGGACAAGAATATTTAACTGTCTCTCTGTGAACACCACCTTTAGGTTTCTCTGGAGCAGTGCTGGGATCGTGCAGAGTGGCAGTGATGGGACAGCAAAAACCTGTTTCTGCTCTGACACAGAGCTGGAAACAGCCTCAGAAGTATCACTGGTTTTGTTGCTCAGCTCCTTTTAAAGAGCACTCTCCACCCGTGAGGCGAGTTCTTCCAAGGGAAGACTCCCTTCAAGGG